GNGGGGGGGGGGTAAAAGAGGGATCTCCTGTCGCTGTAAATAGTTTTCATCCCGCAACGAGAATTTAACGAATTCCATTGGGTGATAAAGTGTTTATGGGCCCGATGGGGCTGCATGCGTATGACTTTAAAGCGCCTCGACGCCACGTGTTTCCTACAAAGTAGCAGGGACGTTCGCGGCCCGCGGCGATGACGGGCCGGGCAACCGCGGCAAGGCCTTGCCACGCTTCCGCATCCGGTTCGCCACCACCACCTCTCGCGGACGGGGGCTCGTTCCGGGATCTTACCTGTCACGGCCGGATAATCCTAGACATGCGCGAGGGCAATGATCTATTGGCACCTATAGACGAAGATTCCATGGTGAGGAGGGAAGGAAGTGTTGTACATGACGGAGGGGAACATGGTGGGGTTTTGTGGTTGATCTCCTCTCACGTGACCTATCTCCCTGCCTTGGTGCCTGAACCGTCACATTACCCACCCGCGCGGTAAAGAAATACCGGCCGAACCTATCGTTCCTGCAGCCCGGCGGGCAACCGCCGGCTTTCCTTACGTCTACCGCATCCATTTTTAAAGCTTCGGTTCTAATCGGAAAAGAAATAAAACCCTTTGGCCGTATTAAACCTAATCAAACCCATCCTAGCCTCTTTCCTATCCATCCCTCCTTCCGTAAAGGTGGGGGCCCATTTTCTAAAAGAATAAGTGGGTCCGGCCTTTTTTTCTCGACGCCCGACCCGCAAACGTATCCACCTACCTACAGGTAGGTAGGTCGATCCCTTCAAACCTTTATTTTCTAAACCTTCCCTTTCCACCAAAGCCGTTAATCGACACTCCTTGCACCGCGCGCGCGTCCCGTCTGGCCTCCCCGTCTTGATCGCCGACCTCTCTCGTATCACGACCAGCGCGTTTCGCAGCTCGCGCCCGTCCCCTCGACCTCCCTCTGCCCGCCGACGCCCGTCCTTCGCCGTCGCAGCCGGTGCGTCTCCAGGCCCGCGCCCGTCTCTTCGACCTTCATCCGCCCGCAGCCGACCCTCCTTCACCAATACCGCCACTTGGTCTCGTAGCCCGCACGTTTTTTTCTTCAACGTCCATCTCTCAAACGCCGGTGCTCCCTCTCCCACGCCGACCTCTCTCCATCGGAACCTTTGACCGGTCCGTCCGGCTCGACTCTCGCTTCCCGCCAGCCCTCTGTTTCCCATCCTGGTTCGTCTCGCCACCATGGCCGCCGGCCTTGCGTTTCTTTCCTAGGCCTGTTTCGCCATCGAAACCTCCAACCTGTACTTTCCGCACCACGCCCGCCCTCTCCTCCACCCCATCCCCAACCTCCAGCCCTCCCATCCGGACGCCGTCTTGCCAGAGGTCTTTTTACCGCCAGACCAGGTTGCGTCCCAGCCCGCCCGCGCGTCTGCCCACCCGCCTCCCACTCGCCATTTCTCCAAACAAACCTCCCGGCCGGTGCGCTCCCATCACGCGCCCTTCCTCCTCCACCCCAAATTGCCGGCCGCTAACCGTACTTTTCCCATCCAGAATCTTCCCCGGCAAACCCTCCGGCCCGCGCGCCACGCTTTGTGCGTCCGCCCCCGCCTTTCAGACGCTCCCTCGCGAGCAAACCGGTGCGCCTCCAAACCCGCGCGTTCGTTTACGAACCTTTCCTACTCCGTTTTACCTCTTAACCGCTAACCTTTCCTTTTCCACCCAGATCCCTTTCGCCATCGGAACCTTTGCCCGCTGCGCCTTGCTGGACGCCGACTTTCCGTTGCCTATTCGGATCCTTCTCTCTCGAACCGTCACCGCGCCTCCAAGATGGTAAGCATCGTCTTCCGTGATTCTTTTAGGAGCGCCCGCTAACCCAATGGCGGTGATCCGCGGGCTCGTCATGCAAGTCTACCGTCGACTCACCCGGCAGCCATTCGGGTCGTTCGAACCGCAACCCCGGTATCCTTCCTCCCGCCGAGGCGCTCCCGGCAACGTCCGCCCGCGGCCCCCTCGACCAGGACCGATGGCGATAAGGACGACGACGCCGGAGACGACACCGGCATGGAGCGTTCGTCGCCTTGCTTCCGCTGCCTTTACCGAGAGCTGAACTGCCGCGATCAAACGCAACCGGGCCAGGACGCCTGCGTACGCTGTCGCGACAAGGGTCGCCAGTGCATGCCTGCTTCGACCCTTGTCCGTCGCGCCTTTCTCGATTAGCAATCCGCCAGGTCTGAATCGGACAGGAACATTACCAAGAAGCATTACGACGCCGCCGTCGATTTCCAGCGCTCGCTCCAGCGCCTGCAGGCCGTTGGGATCGACCCTTCGTAAGTGATCCCCTTGCCTTGCGCCCGTCCTCGGCTGATCGGTTACTTCAGTTCAGGTGACGTCGTTGAAATGCTGGGTGGCAGGTCGTCCGTTGCGGCATCCTCGACCCCCGCTTCCATCGCCGACCTTACGAGGCGGATCAGTTCCCTCGAAAGCGCCACCCTTGCACTGCAGGTCCGGGCCGACGCCCATCATCTCCCGCCTTCCACCCCTCGCAGTCTGAAGCGCACCCGCGACCTCGACGAGGTCGAACAGCTGGGGGAGCCCACCATCCAGTCCCCCACCCGCCGCAAGCTTGCCCCCACCAGCCTGCACAACCCGCTGGTGGTGCACGACACCGACTCCGAGTCCAAGGACGAGCGTCCCACGCCAAAGACCTCCGCAAGCAAGCGGTCTGTCAAGGGCGGTAACGGCCGTTAATCCACCGCCAACATGCCGGGGAAACGGGTATTGCCATGCAGGGTCAATTGGTCGGCGATGTTTTTTTCTTTCTTCTTTGGGAGGGTTACGAATGGTCATGGTTCCTTAAAGAACAACAATCCGCGATGCTTTTGATGGTTAGAGCTGGCTTTCCGATTACCTCTGCGCCAAAGGGGGTCCAGGCCTTCTTTGCTTCGGTGCACTTCTCCACTCGCTGGAAGGTGGTCGTTTCAGAGGCCTTAGGTAGGCGTCGCACCTCCGGTCCCGTCTTCGATTGGTGATATCGCCAGTCGCCTCAATCGACTCCCGAGTCGCAATTGAATCAATTGGGCCTCCGCCTCCTCAATCCGTATCCCGGATTCCCATTGGTCTCCTCCGGCCCGTTATCATCCGGATGGTCCTCGAGTACTTGGTCGTTCTGGGCCGCCTCCAGCCATGTCGACAGCCTCACAGGTGGCCCTGGCTGGTCGGGGTAGTTATCATGGAAGGCCTTGACGGCCTCGGGCGAGTTCCGGAAGTTGGCGGCATCGTACCACGTCTCGTCTGGGTCCCAACCCTTCCAGTCGGCTTGATATTGAAGCCTCTTGTAGTACTTCCGCGAGGTTCGGATCCTCTCAACTTCCCACTCGAGCTCGCCCTCCTGGTCACCCTCAATGATTTTTCCGGCCGGCCTCGGTGGTTCCTGGCCGGGCAACGGGTCCCCTGGGTACTTGCGAAGTCTGCTGGCATGGAAGACTGTCTGTCCCCTCCAGCCTTGGGGCATTTCCAGCTCAAATGAGTGGCCCACCATCGCCTTGATCAGGTAGTGCCTTTTCGTCAGCGGATAGTCTAGCTTGTCGCTCGGCCTGTCTGTTGCCTCGGCCTTTTTAACGATGAACACTCGGTCACCAACACCAAAGTCGGGTGCCCGGCGGTGTTTGTTTGCCTGAGCGGTTATCCGGTCCTGTGTGTCCTGGACGAGGGTTCTTGCAAAGTCCGTGTACTCCTTCATGCAGCTAGAGTACTCCTGTGCCTCTTCCCGAGACAGTCGTTCCCTTGCGGTCACCCCTTTCCATTCTTGTGTTCTCCTTTGCCAGTCCCAATGGCATGATGGTGTCACCCCCACGGTTACTTCGTAAGGGGATAGCCCTCCCAAAGCCTTGTGTGGCATCGAGGCTTGTACCCAGTCCATGGCGGGCACCGCCTCGGACCAGTTGTCCTGGAAATGGCTGACAAACGGCCTCAGTCGTTGGTCCAGGTATTCGTTCATGATCTCCGCCTGGCCTGCCGATTGGGAATGTCCTGCCGATGACAGTTTCCACTGTATCCTCAAGATCTTAGACATTTCGTCGGTAAAGTCCGCTATAAATTGCGGACCTCTCTCGGACCCGATGGTTAGGGGCAGGCCATAGACCCGGTAGGGGCCCTCGTACCACATTTGGGCCGCATCTCGGGCCGTGGCAGTGCGTAAGCACGGCACAGTCCATGACCTTTTGCTCAAAGCGTCCACCACCACCAGTGCGTTGTCAAATCCTCTCTTGTCCGGGTGGAAGCTTTTAAAATCGATGATGAAATGAGCTCCCGGCCTCTGTGCCACAGGGATGGGGTGCAACAGGCTTGGCGTCTTGTCCCTTGGCACCTTCGATGATCGACAGGGGCAGTTGTTAACATAGCGGTTTACCTCTGCGGCCTGGCCCGGCCACCAGTAGCTGTCCGCAACCAACTTCCTGGTTTTGTTTCTTCCTGGGTGTGCGGACGGGAGACGGTCGTGGATCTCCCTGATAATCGCGGTCCTCGTCAGCGGTTCTTCGGTAGTCACCGCCAGTCTTCCCTTGTACAGGAGGACTCCTTCCGGTGTCCAGGTCCATCCGTTCACCCCCTGCCTCGCCTTCTCCCGGCCAAATTCCAGGTCGGCTGCCTTGCGGTTGCTTTGCAAAAGGCATTTAACCAAAAGCATCCCTTCCAAGGGAGATGCTTGTCCTCCTTCGATCCCCGGGGGGTCCGCTTTTTCCACGCCGTGGGGTGCACCGTCTTGCGCGGGTTGGGCCCCATTTGTCTCCTCGGGCTCCTCGAGCTCCTCGACCTCCAGTTCCCAGATTTCAATGTTGACGGGTTCCAGTGGCCGGAAGATCCTCAATGTTCGTCCTGCAACTTGTTTCTCTTTTTGGGATCCCAGCTCCTCGGTCTTCCGTGTCAAGGCATCGGCCGCCGCGTTGGCGGTGCCGGGCCGATAGGTGATCTGGAATTGGAACTGTGACAGCTGGTCAAGCCATCCGGCTTGTCTCATGTTCAACAACCTCTTTTTCGAAAAGTATTCCAAGGCCCGATGATTAGTGATCACCAGAAAGGGCTCCTCTCGCTGAAGCCCCACGAGTTCAGCTCTCCAGTGTTGCAGTGACCTCACCACTGCCAACAGCTCCTTGTCGTGTGCGCCATAGTTGAGCTCGGCTCCGTCCATCGTCTCCGAGAAGAAGGCGGTAGGGTGCCAGTCCCCTGTAGTCGGGTCCTGCTGACTGAGTATCCCGGCCACCACTCCATCAGACGCATCTGTCTCCACCCGGGTAGGGAGATGGTGCTGGAAATGTCGGAGCACCGGTGAGTTCAGTAGCATTTTTTTTAGCTTATCGAACGACTTCTGGCACATGTCGTCCCAGTGGAAAGGGACACCTTTCCTTGTCAAATTCGATAGGGGTTTTGCTGTCCGGCTATAATCCGGAACGAACTTGCGATAGAAGTTGCAAAATCCTAGGAAGGATTGCACTCCTTTCACCGTCGTAGGCGGTTTCCACTCCCGCACCACTTGCAGTTTCTCAGGGTCGGTCGCGATGCCCTCAGTGCTGATGATGAATCCGAGGAACTTGGTTCAGTACTGTGGTCCACTGTGGACTGAATGGGTACCACCCATGTGCCACCTTACAGTACCTGGAACCAACACCTGGTTGCTGTGCAGTGCTAGCTGCGCACTCCACACAAGCCCCACTTCCATAGTCACTCTAACATGCCACCACCTAGCACCCCGCTATGCCGCCCACGCCGACTACAACACAAAAAAAAATAGCAAGTTTCGGCCTTTTTATTAATTAGGCGGGCTTCGGGGTGCCTGGCCGCCTACATGGTCCTTCGCTTACCCCTGCTAAACTGGGCCTCCCCACCACAGCAGCTGCAAGGTATAATCACTCCACAAACCCACAGCCAATTCAACCGCATCAACAACGCCTCACAACACTAGTTAGGCGTGGGCGTAAAATCACGTCCCCAGGGCTGGGTGGTGCACATAAATGGTTTGATTGGGGTGGTGGGTACCAGTGTGGGGCAGTAACAACTATGCATTCCAACATCAGGCGGAGCAAGAAACAAAATAGGAATAATCTGCGACACGCCCCAACGGCAGGCATTATGGGTTTAGTGATTTTCGATGTACCATCTAGCACAAACCGCTAACAAGCTCCTATTGGTGCAGCTCAAAGGCAGCACGCCGCCAGACATTCCCACCCCGTCGATTTCCACCCGGGTCCCCGCACGTTCAAGCTTCGGCTCCGTTTCCCCCGCGACCCGATAAGATATGGTACTGTCAACCATATAGGCACTGTCAGACGTTTTCAGCACCAAGAAGATTGTTCTGTATTCTCTCCTCTCTTCTCACTAGGAATTCTGTCCCCCAGGTTGCCCTTATATCGTTCAATCCGACAGCCTGGAGAACATTTCCACAATTGTTGGTCTTAGCGCTAAATCCCTGAATCCTTGCGCTAAATCCTAAATCCTTACGCTGAATCCTAGCGCATGGGCCCTGTAAATGCCTAGAAAGAATGCCTTGCGGCTGACAGGCACCGGCTCCCTTGGGCGCCGGATTCCCTTTTCACTTTCTATTCCATTATTTCGTGGCTATCTAGCACGCCCAAACCAATACCCAATAACCTTCCCATTTCCACGCCTCGGCCAGCAATTGCGTGGCCATTCGCTTTAAACACAATCGCGCGACCGATCTGCGTGGCTTAGCCACCCGGCTTACAGCCCCGCGCACACGTCGACCGCTGCCTTTGCAGTCGCTTCCGGTGGACGCGCTCCACCTATTTTGCGCTCCGTGGGGACCCCCCACAGCAGCCAGCGAGCGTTAATGCTTAAGCCATCCCAGCCGCCTATCCCAACCGCCAGCAGGGACATGATGCCATGCCGTTTCCCGTCGCCCACCGTTGGCCAAGCCACGCCCAGTTCCAGGATCGATAACGAAGCGGCTAGCCTAGCCACGTTGTCGTCTTCGAAGGCTTGCTTTATCGGCAGCGAATCGCATACAACGCCATCCGTAAGTAAACCAGAACTGCGTTTCGGGATTTACAGCCATTAAAATGAAATAAGAAAAATGCATAACTAACATAAGTTAACGCGGCGCCTAATGACGCGACGCAGTCAATGCGTAAATACGCCATCCACAACAGCGTTGCCACCAAGCCCGTTAAATCCATCATAGATCAACCTCTTGAGGATGCGTCCCAGGCGGATATCGATCGTGCTTTTAACACGATTCTTAAAAAGGCCCCCCAAAAGTTCCTTAACAAGGCACTGTACCAATGCCTGCGCACCTTTGGGGCCGATGCGATCCTTGAATCGATTTCCCGCGTTTACAGCCCGGGATACCAGGCTAGCGATGCTAAGGATGATGAGGATCCTAGCCGCCCTGCTACCACCCCAATACCGCCTCTCAACTTCATGCCAACCCATCCTGTGGGTTCACCTCAAACACCCAGCACGCCTGTGCCTTTACAAGCGCCTTCGTGGAGCTGCCATCTCTGCTTTCGCTGCTTTACCGCACAGTCGGCTTATGAATATGTTAGTATTTTCGATGAAATCCCATAAATCCTGCTGTTACCGTCCGCTAAGCCTTATTCCGGTTTTAGCACACTTCCAAGGATGTTTGCAGGCGCGATCCGCCAAGCATCAGCAAAGGATTCAAACACAGCTGCCTGTACTGTGGCGAGGGCTTTGTCACTGCCGTCGACCTGAACGATGTAAGTGGTCGATTCAATTTCTGCGAGCGGCAGTGGACATGTTTTAACGATTACCCCCATCGCCAACAGCATAAAATCAACAAAGTATGTGGTGTTTCGCCCGTACTTTACGCCGGGAGCGTTGTTACCGGTTCCTCGCAGTCCTCCCCGCCGGTTCGCACACGAAGCCTGCAAGGCGGCACTGTCAGCGGCGTACGCCCTTATGCGCACATAACGGGTCATCAGCGTTTATCCTCAAACAAGGAAGCCCGCCAGGCCCAGCCGCGGCTCGCTTACCTCGGCACCCCTCCGTCCCAAGGCCACAACATTGGAATACCTGCAGCACCATTCCATCCCCAGCAAAACGGCGCGCCGACAACGGCGAAGGACAACAGGTTTTCCAGCGCTGGCGTCGACGCTAGACGGGAAATGCCTAACGACCGTCCTAGAGCCGCTGTTGAGAATGCCTTCAAGCGGCCCAAAATCAACGGCGATGGCGACTCACCCAGGGGGTTGGGCAGACAAGCTTCATTGGCAAAGCCAGCTACCAGTCGACAAAGTCAGGCAAGCGCGCCCATCGATATATCCCCAAGCGTTAGCACTTCCTTGCAAGGTGCGCCAGGGGCCTGCGATTCGGGTGGCACCCCTGTTCCAGCACCGCAAATCAGGCCCGAGTTAAAGCCCTCCGCTAAGGCCAGCTCTTACCCTACGCCTGCCAATCGTTCTAACTTTAAGGCTACGATCGAGGACGATGAAGATGGTGACGACGACGATAACGACGGTATTCTCGCCGAGGTTCCGCCGGCCAAGTGTCAGAATAGCACGCACGAGCGCTATGTGTTACGGCCGAGGAGGAAACGCAGAATGGTATAACGCGGACTGGAATAAGGCGGGCACCCCAACCAACCGCGCATGCAGGCCGAGTTTCCAAGCATGTCATATTATGGCCGGGCTAGGGAGGGATGAGGGGCTAGGTAGTTTATTTCCAGTTTTATGTCGGCGGAAGAGGCAGTAAAATAAAACATGCCGGGTTGAAATTACCGCGAGTCGGGTATAGCTAAGCCTGTGTGATGCATGGGTGAACTTTAAATTAAAATAAGGCATAGCCTTATCTTAATTATAAACGGTCCAGTTTCCCGTAAAGGGGGTTGAAAGAAAGGCCTTGCACCTAGTCGACTCCTTGCGCTATGTATACCCCCGGGTAAACGATTAATCAGTTGGCCTAAAAATTTGTTGTGTGCCACCTTTGTGTCAGCCGACGCTCTAAGCGAATGTGGGACTGTGGGTTTGAAGCTACCATTGGTTGAGTGGCGTGGATTAAACAGCGGTGAAAGGATATGTGTGTGCCTTTGGACACCACATGGCAGCCGCACGCCCACCCCAATCACACGCAACGAAGACCTGCGATGTAGAGTAAGCCGGGTGCCTCTCACCAGCGAGCCAAGTGAGCACGCTAAGGATTAATTGGGATGGCATTCGACACATTTGCTTTACCTTCGGAATATATTCCTTATTAGCCTAAAATTACCGTTACCAATTAAATGGGTAGCGAAACCCAAAGGTAAGGTTCCCCCACACCATATAATAGTTTCCCTAACGTTATAATGAAAATTTAATTTATAACGCTGCAATGAAAATTAGCATAACACCAATTTTATTAAGGTTATGCTTAAAAAGTGTGCGAAACTTATGACTGAAAAGTACAAACCGGTTTTAAAGGAAGAAGTTAAACGAACGGTCGCAGTGGAATTCAAATCCGACCTACGGACCGACCTAAATCACTTTTCTGCGACAGTAGACCAGCACTCCGCTTAATTGAACAAAAACCAGGACCACGCTAGGCAGCTTAACTTCGACCAAGCCAGAACGGTCTTTCACGTCGTCTAACACGGACGCACCCTTGCCTCCCTTACTCACGACATTCGGGAAACTGCTTCCTGACTTCCACGGCCAGTAGACGGATCCCCATGAAGAGGCCCGATTGGGCCGATTGGGTGCATGGGAGCTCATGGAATTACCCCTCACTTGAGTAAGGGGTTTTGGCATGGTGTAAGGAACGACAGGGCCCGCACGGGCCACATGCCCCCCTATATAAAGGGGCCTGTCCCCTGTCGTCCCCTCGAAAGATTCTATCTCCTTAAACTAGTAGCTTTAATTGAAGATTCTCTCCCAAGCCTGCATTGCACCCTTGTAACACTTCATGTTCTTCGTCTTCCCACATCGCCATCTTCGACACAGCGCTATAACAATTATAGTGCACAACATGGATATTCCCCGCACTGCCAACCAATCTGAAAAGAAGACGGGAAATGTATACATTTACGTTGATGTTCCAAACTTTTGGGCCCAGGGCCAGCAAACATACACCCAAAAGTATCAGCAGGGTACGAACCAGATCCCCCGATGGCGCTTTAACCATGACATCCTAAAAGATATCCTGCTGGAAAAATCTAGTTTGGATACCAACGAAGCAACCTTCGAGCCCGAACTTAACTTGTACGGGACGAAGCCTCGAAGTGTTGATTCAGCGAGCGTAACGAGCGAAATTATTGTGGATTTAGTCGATAAAGTTGCCGATGCGTACTATAACAGCATCCCTGCAGTTTTTATTGTCGTTACGGGCAACCGGAAAGTCCGGTCTGCCGTGGCTAAAATTGCGGCGAGAGGGTTTCCGGTGCACATTTGGTTTTGGAAAAACGGGATGGCTAAAGAGCTTATCAGGGAAGATACAGATATTGACCAGGACTTGGTTAAAACGCATTACTTGGACCCTTATCTCGAGGTTATAAGTGCGAACGATTAAGCCGAAGTTGTTGTATCTACCCTATAGAAATATAGGCACAAACCCTTTTTGACCTACTTGTATCTATCGTGATCACTTCGCTTACAGCCTTCGGCTTAACCCCGTGACATTAAATGAGGCCCTCCTAGCGTCCCTGGCCGCCAGGCCTTGCCCCGCCCCTGTTATAGGTTAGGGCAGTTGTCACGGTCCAACGTAGGCAACTAGGCAGGCTGCGATATCCGTAGGTTGAATTGGCTATCAAAAGATAAAGAGAAGAAAGGGAAAAAGTTGTGCGTTGCACGGTGACAGCGGAATTGCCTAAATAGGCACGCGTTGTCCCGTGCAATGCAGGCCCGTGCGTAGCACTTGGCAGGCAGCCAATTCGGGCTGCCGCGCCATAACAGCAGTGGCCCTACCCTAGTTCCAAGGCTTAGCCTTGTGGCTTGTATATAGTGCCCTTTCGTGGCCAGATTCTGTCAGCGTTAGATTCCTTCCTTTGGTAGTTGTATTCATCCCACCTTTTGGGTCTCTCAACTCCGCTCTTCCTTTGCATTGGGCCTACCGTCTCACAGCCCCTGTTTTTGGTTGTAACATTTTATTCCTTTTTGTACCGCTAACGTACTAACCTTTCCAGGAAGAAACTGATTTGTGGCTGCTGCTAATTAATTATTTTACAGACTGAATTACGCGGAGCTAAGGTACTACGGTACTTGGATAATAAATACGTGCATAAGCTAACGCACTGGTAATCGACGGCTAACACGTAACGATACTTATACAGATACATTTAAATAGGCAGTGCACGGACAAAAAGGGGTGACCATTTGCCATTTCGTCCGTTTATGCGCAACACGCACGCCACCTATGCCACCTTTACCACTTATGCCACCTTTGCCACCTTTGCCACCTACGCTACCTACGCCACCTACGTCGCCGGTTGCATTATGGTTAGCGCAATTTTTATTTATATTACTAACATGAAATTTATAAGCTTAAGTAACACTCCTTTATAAAGTAACACTCCTTTAGCCAAAAGCTTTAATAATTAGCTTTAAAATAAATGTTCCGAAGCCAATACAATTTTTAGTAATTAGAAATATAAATACTTGTAGAAAAGAAAACTAAACGAAAGTTACGGTCTTAAGAGAACGCAATCCTTCAACCTTGGGTCGCTATCTCCCTGGAAATTCTGAGTTTTCAGTAAGGCCAACCAGAGAATCCTTTCCATTGAAATAGGGAGGCATCGGTTTTGACCACTTTGAGACGCGTCGATGCTGTAGTAAAACCGCGCTGTAAACGCAAAGTCGCGGCGGATGGTGTCGAAAAACCCGCGTTGAAGAATTGGCTTCCATCTGTCGTTATCTTGCAGTTGTCGTTCAGCTTTGATGTCGGGGTTACGGTACGACCTTGGATCGCAATCCCAAACAATGACGATGTACTGCTGCTTGCGGGGCCTCCCTAGGCTCCGCCTAATAAGGCAAACAGTATAGCAATGCCAAGGACTTTTGTCCCAATCCTGTATGCCTACCCACCATTCTGGAGGTACGCTGAACAGGGCCAAAAAGGGTTTGTCCACTTCCCTTTCTCGCCCAGCCCACCAATCTTGAAATGTGTCGCGGTTATCGATATCTCGCAAGGCTCCTCGCCAGTTGGCCTTATCCTTTGCGCTAGAAAAAGAAACTGGGTTTGGGTGTACTTTAACACCTGTTTTCCCTTTATACTTTTTCAGGTAAGTACTAAGGTCCTCCGCAGTGGTGCAGGGGTCGCTTGGTATAAGCTCTGCCTCGCTTGGTATAGGCTTTGCAAAGCCTGGGAATGTTCCGTTTTGGTATGCTTTAAGCGGTGCTTTCTTTTTGTGGAGTTTCGCAGTAGTGCGGGGTTTTTTTTTACGCTTTGCGGACTTTGCAGATGTTTTTTGTCTCATCGTGTCGGAGGGCACCGGTTGAATTTGGATTTAGTCAGCTCGTTTATTAGCGCTGACAATGGGCTTTTAAGAAACGTTAGAAAATTAACCGTAAAATGCGTGGTTGTTGGGATATGCGGCTTTAAAGCAGGTGTGGCCGCCGAGATATTAGCTAGATAAACGTACCAATGGCGCACTTAAAAACGGAACGGCTTAGCCCTCCACACTTAGGGCACCGGTCAAATTCGGAATTGGTCGGTTCGTTCGATAGCGCTGAAAATGGGCATTCGAAAGACGTTGGGAAATCAACCGCAGAATGCGTGGTTGTTGAAATATGCGATTTTGAAGTAGTTGAGGCCGCCGAGATATTAGACAAATGGAATGTACCGAGACGCAGGTACGGAGCCGTTCAGCCCTCCACACTTAGGGCACCGGTTAAATTTGGGATTTGTCGGCTTGTTTGATAGCGCCGATAATGGGCAACCAAAAGACTTTAGAAAATCAACCGCAGAATGCGTGGTTGTCAAAATATACGGCTTTGAAGTAGGTGAGGCGTGGTCGCCACGTTGAAATACTTTGTCGTTGGGCTGCCTGCCGAGGTTGTGGCAGGCCATTGGTGGGGTGCGCTTCGGACCCACTGTGGATAGTTTGGCTGTTGAACCCGAAGCACTCCACAGCTAAGAGAAGCAACCGTGTGTCCGCCACCAACAAGCCACCTCCCAACACGCCGGGGCGTTTCATTACCGCATTAACCGAATCGTTTCCGTGGCGCCCTGCATGCATTGACGACAGTTGGATTGAAACTACAAAGTGCGTGCTCTGGCCACGAAGGTGATTGCAAGTTTCCCGTGGAAAACATGCTTGTTGCCACGCTTCCTAGGAAGGGATTTAGAGCCCGGCGCGTTGAGCACAGTTCGGACACTGTAAACAAATGGCAGCCCTTTCGCCAGCCCCTTGCAGCGAGCGTGGCAGATCGATTGGCACGGCCTGCAAAATTATGCAACCACTTCCATATCCTGCCAACACCAGCCACGCCCACCACGGGCTGGAACTGCCGTTTTTGTTGTGGTGGGCGTGCAATTTGCCGTAGCGCTTGCGGTGGGGAATGGCACGACCCCCCGCCAGCCCCGCCAGCCCCCGCCAACGCCATTTTCGGAACCAAAAAAAGCTGGCGACGCAGATCGATGCTGCAACCATGGAACCAGGGAGCGAGCACGCAGCCAAAAAGTCAACCAGGGGCCAAGCAGCCCCGCTGTGCCACAATCGAGTTAGTGCACCGCGGCTGCCTGGATATCACCCCTTGTCGCAGCTCTTCCAGGGGATATCCTGAATCGGCGGACGAAAATACCGAGACGCGGCCAGCATGGGCCGCGCCAAACCTGCTGGCCAGCCCTCGGACACGCGATTCCTTCGCGCGGGCAGCAACAGGACAGGGAGAATGGGCGCTGGCAGACTCGATCAGCTCAGGGATGTCGCGGTCCTTGAGGTATTTAGCCCACAATTCATGCTCAAGTTTTCGTTGTCGTCGATTTCGTCCGCCCCACCGTTATCGAGTTGCGCCGTTATCGTTATCGGACGTGGTTTTTGACCTGGTGGGTCGGGGGAACTTTCTTTCCAAAGAACTCCAAACGGCTACGTGCAAATAGGAAGCAGCCGGCTACCTTTGGACCCTTTCCTGCCGCCGATGCTGCTGTTCGCCCAGCATAGGCCGAGCCGGCCAAGAACACGCGCCGCGCAGGGCGCGCTGCCGCTTTCGCCACCCTTTAGTGTAAGTGCCAGGCGTGAGCCTTGTAAGGATGATAAGGGCAGCAAGAACGGAAGCGCTGCCGCGTCGCGCAAGCAACGCAGCAAAGAGCTTTTGGAGAATGACTACCCCGCTTTGCTTGGACTTTTCGCTGTGGATCAGGGGCGTGGCCACGGGCAGGAGGGGTGCAGGAGCCCGGCAAAGAGCAGCAGTCGGCGCTTAGCAGATACCAGCCCGAAAATATCCAACAGCTGGCGGACAACCAGGGCGACGACATGACCGGGCTTGGTGGCTATCCCCTAAACATGGGCAACGACGTTTTGCTCACCTACCAGCGTCAAAATTGCATCGTGAGGTGTCACAAAGGAGGCGTCATGGAGGGCTTGGCGCACGGCGCCGGGGTGCCGAGTGCGCGTCATGGGCGCCGACCACTCGCCGAGGGCGCCGATCACTCGCCACAGGCCACGCACGCCATATGCTTGATAAGCACCCAAATGCGATGACGGGAGCGCGGTAATGGATACCGCGCCTACAGAGGAGAGATCCCTTTTGTGTATATAAAGCACGCAGGGCCTACGGCCTTGTGCACTAATTTCCTTCTCTCCTCAGAGATCTAGATAAGCACCCAATAGATCCTATCAACGCACTGTTTTCCTGTCACAGTTATGAGCCCGGCGACTTCATCACCCTGACTTCACAGGACAGCAGCTTGAAAGGACCTCTATTCCTTAGTTCTACTCGTTCCTCATCACTCCAACGATCGAAATCCCTTTCACCTTTTTCCCTCCTCGTTTTTCGTTGCCCTCTACGCCTCAACCCCTCCTCGTTTCTCAGCTATCCCACTCTACTCGGCTCGCGACAGTTCGACCCCTCGACCAAGCCTCGCTTACAACTCCCTGCACCTGCTAACCCAGTGCGCCCTGCACGCTGACCCCTGGAGACCCTTGCTCCTTAAGCAAGACCCGTTCCCCCTCCCCTTCAACGCTGTTTCGCCAAGATGGGGGGAGTAGAGGCGGGACTCCTCAAGGCAACGGCCCCCCTCAAGGGGCCAATGCAGTGGCACACGTGGTTTATGGTCCTCAAGCAGAATGCGAAGATGCTTGGGGCCTGGGAAGAGATTGATCCTGACGAGCAACTCGACGAAAAGGATGCGGTTTCGGCTGCTCCTACCTTGGAGAGTCTGCTAGTAGCTAACGAAGCGGCTAACAAGGAGCGTCATGAGATAAAGAAGACCGTATGGAAACATCTCACGGAAGGAGAACAACAAGCAAGGATCAAGGCCTGGGAGGCAGCTTCTCCAGGGACCCGCGGCGCACACCCAGTGCCGGACGACAAGCCCGTCGAAGTCAAGCTCGAGGATCTTGAGAACCAGCTCAAGGAAGCTCGAGATGCATGGAAGGCCAAGAAGGAAGCGCTTAAACCTTCGAAGGAAGTCACAGGGATCTCGAAATGGCTCCAAACCGCCGTCAACACCGACTTGCTGGCTGTCGCCATGCAGAACGCCGAGAACAAGGGCTGGAGCACTCTCAGGGGTGTGATCAAGTGCTTGGAGAACATCTGTCGTCCCAGCGAGTCGCTCGCTCACGATTGGGTGGTACAGAAGTACCAGACAGTTTTGAGGGAGGCACACTCAACCACCAATGTCGACATTTGGTTCCCTAAGTACCGTCAGGCCCTTTCCGAGGCCGAAGCCATCCAGATTCCCCAGATCCAAGGCCAGTCCGGGGCCCGAGAGTTTCTTACAGCCGCGGGAAAGTTCAACACTCCCTGGGCCGAGCGACAGCGCCAAGATCTCGCCGCAGAGGTATCAAACTACTCCCTGAGGCAGTTGGTGCGCATGTTCGAAAACATCCTCTTGCAGGGAGTTATCGACCGCGGCAACAACCACCCAACCTTCGCCACACTCGGAGGAAACAGCAAGCTCCCGCCTACAGGACAGCAGTCCGGAAGCTCAGGAAGCAACCAGCGTCGAGGAGGCAAGCAGTACAACTGCCCTGCCTGCTCAAAGGCGCATGCCTGGCAGCCCTCGGAATGTCGAAGGTTGACGTTCGCCCTCACGGGTCTGAACAAGAACGCGCTTCGGGAACCCCCAACAGAGAAGGAATGCGCAGAGATCAAGAAGGAGGTTCAGTCCAAGCGGTGGTTTGGGGTTCGCAAAGCCCTCCTCTCGATGGACAAGTTCAGAGACTCCGCTTGGGGGAAAGGAGCTGAGTCCAGCTCCCCGAGCACAATTTCAGCCGCCATCTTTCTCACGCCCACGCCTAAGAACGCCGTGTTCTCCGCGTTCAACAACGCAAAGCACCAGTACTTCGACAGCACTCTTCTCGACAACTGCGGTGCCACTCATCTGGTGAATAGCTTGGACAAGCTCGACCAGGGCACCTTTGTGCCGAGCACTAGCATCGAGACAGTTGAGTGCGGGACGCAGGTGCTCCCGGTGTTGGGCAGAGGCAAGCGCACTTTCCGCGGGGTCCTGAGCAACGGAGCCGATCTCGAGCTTCTGGAGGTCGCGGTGGTCGAGAACTTCCATGTCAACATCATTTCTGAGGCTCGCCTGGGCACGGCCAAGGTGTGGTTCTGTGGCCTAGATTGCACTCTTCGCATTGACGGACTGAAGAATAGCAGGGTGATCAAAAAGCTAGAGCGCAGGGACAACGTCGTGTTCTTCGAATACAAGCCTCTTTCCTCCTACCCGTTGGATGCTTCTGAAGCACCCACTCACAGTCGTGAGATATTCGTTATGACCACTTTCAACAACTTCCTTAGACGGAAGCGCGCCGTCCCCGCTTGGCGCCCGTCCACCGACTTCCGGAGACCCCGAGAAAATGACGAGCACCTGTGGCACCTACGCAGTGGGCATCTAGGGCAGCAAGCACTGGAGGCACTTGTGTGGAGCGCACAAAACGTCCGAATCAAGGGACTCCGGCGCCTGGAGTGCGAGGATTGCGGCACGACACACGCGAAGGCTGTGGTCTCACGACGTCAACCAGAGAAAGCTCCAAGGCCTTTCTGGAGGGTCTGGCTGGATCTGTTTCACTTCCCTGCCAGTGGCAGCCGGCAAACGGTGCTGCTGCTCCTCAAGGACGACTACAGTGGCAAGCTTTGGGGCATCCCCTTGTCGGGAAAGTCATCAGAAGACCTCACGCCAGCATTGACCAACTGGGAAGCATGGGTTTTGCGCCAGTATGGCCTGCGAGTCTCTACCTTCCGGCACGACAACGAGCCAGCGTTGGTATCACACTTTGGCCCAACGCAGTACGTTGCCTGGGCAGAGAAG